TTCTGAACAAGCCCCAGTGCCGGGTGCCCCCAGCGCCCCTTGTTTGGGAGAAGATGGGAAGGGCCCTCTGGGAATCCCATTTGCAGACTCCCACCCTGTGCCAGCCCCACACAGGGTGGTGAGGGGTGGGCGGGTGGAGGCAGCAGGGAGGGGTCAGGGCATGGCCTGTGTCCTCCCTGCAGAATGTGTGCCACACACTCTGGTGCTCCGTGGGGACCACCTGTCACTCCAAGCTGGATGCAGCTGTGGACGGCACCAGGTGTGGGGAGAGCAAGGTAGGGGACAGTGTCAGGTGGGGGGGACAGTGTCAGGTGGGGGGGAGGGGTGGGGCTCCCAGCGTGCCTCTGCTCTGCAGGCAGCCTTGGCTCAGGCTGTGTCGGAGCCCAGCCTCTCTGCCCTGTCCAGCCTGCGCGCTGGACCAGGAAGCCGGCACCTGGGCTCTGTCTTTCCTGTGCGCCTCCACCACTGGGAGGAGCCTCCTCTCTCCTTGGTCTTGTCCTCTGCCTGCCCCGGCCCCCCAGCTGCCACAGTGTCACCAGGGCGGGGATAGCTGACTGGCCTGGGTGCGCGTCTCCACCTGGTCGGGTGTCTCGGTAGTGGTGTCTGAACGGGGAGTGTGTTCCTGTCGGCTTCCGGCCTGAGGCTGTGGACGGCGGCTGGTCGGGCTGGAGCCCCTGGTCCGTCTGCTCGCGGAGCTGTGGTGTGGGCGTGCAGAGTGCTGAACGGCGGTGCACACAGCCTGTGTGAGTGTGGGGCTGGGGCCACCCGGGGACGCGGCCGCACCGCGCTCACCGTGTACTCACTCTGCCTCCCCCGCCCCCCAACAGGCCCAAGTACAAGGGCAAGTACTGTGTGGGCGAGCGGAAGCGCTTCCGTCTGTGCAACCTGCAGGCCTGCCCCCCCGGCCGCCCCTCGTTCCGCCACGTCCAGTGCAGCCACTTTGACGCCATGCTCTACAAGGGCCAGCTACACACCTGGGTGCCGGTGCTCAACGACGGTGAGTCCTGTCGCCCACGGGGAGGGGCCAGGGGGCGGGTGGCAGGAGCCGGGACCCCACCCCAGCCGGGCCGAGCCGTCCCTGGAGCCTCCAGCCCGTCCCTGACACACAGTGCGACGCCCGCCCCGGCTGTCCCTCACGGCTCTCCCTTTGGGCCCCCAGCCAGCCCCTGTGAGCTGCACTGCCGGCCTTCGAGCGAGTACTTTGCTGAGAAGCTCAGGGACGCTGTGGTGGATGGCACCCCCTGCCACCAGGGCCGGCCCGGCCACGACCTCTGCATCAACGGCATCTGCAAGGTATGCCCGACAGGAGGGGTGTCTCCCACACCGGCTGCCCCGGGTTCCCTCCTGGTCCCCCTCTGGCCCCCGTCAGCAAAGGCCACCCCCCCCCCCCCACCAGCACTGGAGCCCCTCACAGGCGGACCTTGTACCCCCAGCCCCTGCACCGTGGCCCTCCTCCCCTCCTCCCTTCCTGCTTTCTGAGCCTCTGAAGCTCGGCCCACATCTGCACAGCCCCTGCTGGGAAGCCAGAGCCCAGGTCAGCCTCCTACTGGCTGAATGACCCCAGGCAGTGGTGTCCTCTGAGAGAGAAAGTGGCCGGTTCTGCACCCCTGTCACCGGGTTCGGTGACGCCACTGCAGGGGCATGCAGGGCCCCGAACCTGGCAGATGAGTGTCAGTAATGCCGGCAGTGTGTGTGCTCGCTTCTGGTGTCAGCCCCGGCCTCTTCCCCACCCGTGTCCCAGCCGCTGTCCCCCACCCGAAGCACTGGGGCCCAGAGTGGCAGGGACACGCTTGCCCGGGGCCTCTGATACAGATTCCTGTTTCCGGGAAACTTTCGCCCACACTGGGGGAGCTCCTGGGGTGCCAGTGCCCTGCCTGCTGTAGCTCTTTGTGAAAGGCCCCCCCCCCGTACCTCGTGCCCCCTCAGCATGGCCTCACTGCACGCATGGATCCCCCTGTGTCACACCCGGGGACAGGCAGAGTGGGGGCCTGCTCCCACCCTGGCGGACCCCAGCGGACCCTGGCCGACCCCAGCGGACCCTGGCGGACCCCAGCGGACCCTGGCGGCAGGGGCCAGGGAGGGCTGCCAGCTGGTGGCCAGGCACTGGGGCTTCCCTCCCGTGTGTTCCAGAACGTGGGCTGTGACTTCGAGATTGACTCGGGTGCTGTCGAGGACCGCTGTGGCGTGTGCCACGGCAATGGCTCCACCTGCCACACCGTGAGCGGGACCTTCGAGGAGTCTGAGGGCCTGGGTATGCGGTTGCGGGGGGGGGGGGTGGTTCTCCTAACTCGGCAGCGCTGCCTGATCCCCAGGGTCCCGCCCGGGCTAGAGACTGGAGGCAGGGAGACCACCCTGCTGGGTCCTCTCGGGCGTCGGGCACCTTGGCCCAGACACAGAGACGTGTACTCAGGGGAGTCCTTCTGCCCCGGGGACCCCGGGTTGGCTGATGAGGCTTATGGGTGGCGCCAGCCCCTTCAGAGGCTACCGCCTTCTTGTGAGGCTTCAGAGAGCTGCCCCCCCCCCAACTCTACCCCCTCAGCCGTGTGAGTGCCGGCTGCGTGTGCTGGGTGAGGGGGGCTTGAAGGTGAGGAGCTCACAGCGACAGGTGACGAAAGCTTTCAGTGTGGCAGGTGCAGTTGTGGGGGGCCCAGCAGGCTGTGAGGAAGGAGGTCCTGACCCAGGGAGGTGAGGGGAGACTTCCTGGAGGAGGGGGGAGTTTAGCTGGTGCGTGAAAGACCCAGGTGAGATGGGAGGAGGGTCTCACGCAGGAAAGAGCTGTGTCCCCAAGGCCCGGGTGCATCTCTGTGCAGGCACCTGTAAGGAGCGGGGCCTCGGGCGCTGGGCCAGGACGCTCGGACCCTGGAGCCCCATTCATACCCCAGCAGGACCCTCGGGCACGTTACTTAATCTGTCTGGGCCTCAGTTTCCTCATCGGTCAGATGCGGGTGACGGCAGCCCCTGCGTCACTGGGTAAAGCGCATAGAGTCAGTGAAGGAACAGGAACGGGCTGTGTGGGCAGCACGGAGGATGTCCCCGGGAAGGGCCCAGCTAGCCTAGGCATCCAGGAGAGGCGTGAAGGGGCATGGGTCACGGGAGCAGGATTTGAGGGTCCCCTCTAGGTTTAGGTGACCTAGGACACATGGGACCCTCTGCCTTCTGGAGGAGCTCGGGCCCCCGGGCTGGTGGTGGGACCTTTGCCGTCAGCAGGCCGGGTGGAGCGGGAAGGGGGGCGAGGGAAGGGGACGGTCAGCCTCTTAGCGTCTGTACACCCCCTGGCCAACAGGGTACGTGGACGTGGGGCTGATCCCGGCTGGCGCCCGTGAGATCCGCATCGAGGAGGTGGCTGAGGCCGCCAACTTCCTGGCCCTGCGGAGCGAGGACCCTCACAAGTACTTCCTCAACGGGGGCTGGACCATCCAGTGGGGCGGGGACTACCCGGTGGCAGGCACCACCTTCACGTACGCGCGCACAGGCAACTGGGAGAACCTCACGGCCCCCGGCCCCACCGACGAGCCCGTCTGGATCCAGGTGCCTGCCTCCTGAGGCCCAGGGTGGGGGGAAGAGTCGGGCCCCGGGGGTCCAGCACCGCCTGCCCCACGGTGAGACAGGGCCCTGGGCCTCTGCCTCTGCCTCCCTTCCCCCGTGTCTAAGACAGCCCCACGTTGTAGCCCCAGGTCCCAGAGGTGGCTGGGGCTGGGTCCCTTCCAGTGATCGCTCTGGGCAGGTGGCAGGACGCCTTCCGCTCGTGGGGCCACCTCATGCTCGTGGGGATGCCTCGTGCTCATGGGCCCTGGGTGGGCGGTGGGGACGCCTCGTGGCCCCAGGTGGGTGGCGGGGACACCTCGTGCTCGTGGGGCCCTGGGTGGGCAGTGGGGACGCCTCGTGCTCATGGCCCTGGGTGGGCGGTGGGGACGCCTCGTGCTCACGGGGCCCCTTGCCCACCCGCCTTAGCTGCTCTTCCAGGAGAGCAACCCCGGGGTGCGCTACGAGTACACCATCCACAGGGAGGAGGATGGCCACGGCCACGGCCAGCCGCCCGAGTTTTCCTGGAGCCACGGGCCCTGGAGCCAGTGCACGGTCACCTGTGGTACAGGTGAGGAAAGGGGTGGGCACGGTGCCCGGCTTCAGCCTCCGGCTGGCTGCTTACGTGTGGCTCTCGGGACCCCGTGTCCAGAGCGGGGCCGCCGGCAGCCCTGTCCCTGGGTCCTTCGGGGGAGAGGCCGGCACAGGACCGGACATGTGCTGAGCGCCCGGTGTGTCTCAGCTGCTGGCGCTGTGTCCCCAGAGACGCGCCGGCTGCCCCTTCCTTCGTTCTCACTGCTCAGCAGGCCCCTCACCGGTGCTTCTGTCTCTCTCCGGACACCGGACCCTCGTCCTCACAGTCTTCCGTGGGCTCCTTCCTGCACCTCCTGCTGCAGACGGGCTTTGCGGCTCCTTCCTGGGCGGCCCAGAGCCTGGTGCTCCCTGGCTGCTGCCCCAGGAGGGGCTTCGCAGGGGGGATCGGGAGGAGGAGGAGGGGTGGGGAGGAGGGAGCCAGGACCACCGGCGTGTCCCCACCCCCGCTCTGAGCCTCTGGGCCCAGTGGCCCGTTCCCCACACGCACTCATTTCTTCCAACTCTATGAGACGTGTAACAGTGTCGCTGACCCCTGTTCCCCGGGGCTCGTCACCCCCAGTGCCCCTCAGTGTCCAGGGATCTCAGCATTATGAGTCTGGGACAGACGTCTTCTCGTTCCTTTTTAGTTTTTAGTTTTTTATTTTGAGAGCACGAGTCAGGGAGGGGCAGAGAGGGGGTGGGGGGAGAGGGAGAATCCCAAGCAGGGTCTGTGCTGTCCACGCAGAGCCTGACTCGGGGCTCAAACCCATGAACCACGAGATCACGACCTGAGCCGAATAAAAAATTGGACACTTCATCGACTCAGCCACCCAGGTACCCCTCAAACACTCCTTAAAAACCTCGTGTGATGATAAAGTAGAAACCGACACACGGAAACCTGGCAGAAATTCTCAAAAGCTCTCAAAAAGTATCCTGTCCCATAGAGCGTCTTTATGTTTACAAACATGACCGCAGACCCGTTAGACCGGGCCCTGGGGGTCAGCGGACGGCCGCTTCACAGGTGGGCGGCTGAGGGGCGTGTGGCGCTGCAGGTCGTGGGGTGCCAGGTGGAGCACCAGTGCAGGTGGCTCGGGGTGGCCTTAGGGACCCAGGACCTCTCTCCCCATCCGAGTGTTCCCCTCACGTGTGTCAAGGTAGCCCCGCCCTCCCCCTTCTTGGGGTCCAGGCAGGAAGAAGGAAGGGGCGAGGGGCTGACCCCCAGGGGAGAGACTCGTGTCCTTTCTCCCTGTGTCCTTCCCTCGCACACAGGAACTCCCATGGGGAGTGTTCTCAGCAGGTCCTCGCAGAGAACCAGAATTCTGTTAGGGGAGGAGGAGTGGACAGGACGGAAGGCTCAGGCCAAGGAGACCTGGTCTTCTGGCCTGTGAGGGAAGCAGGGGAAGGCAGGGCCTGCTGGACGGTCCTGCCACCGGAGACAGTGTGGGGTACGTGTCCGAGGGGAAGAGTGCAGTCGTGCAAAGGCCCAGAGGCAGGTGGTGGCTGGGGGACAGGAACAGTGACAAAGGCGGGCTGGAGAGGAATGTTCGGGGGTCTGGTGAGTGGCCTCGCTCCGCCTTTTCTGAGCGCTGATCCTGCTGGGAGGGGAGGCTGGGTTTGCACGACCACGTGTTGTCCTCACACCCTGGCTTCGAGGCAGGTGTTATTCTTCCTCCCACTTACAGATAAATACACGGAGGTTCAGAGAGGCCAGGTGAGCCGCCCAAGCCTCCCAGCTAGGACGCCAAGGGGCTGGGCCCTCAACGCCACGACCCTCCACGCTCTGGTCCCCATCTAGGGGTGGAGGCGGAGGCCTTGTTCTGGGAGGGTTCTAGAGGAGCGGGTGTGGCCTTGTCTCTGGGTGCGGGGCAGCCCGGGCAGGGGGCACCCTGGGTGCCGGGCCCAGGCTGAGCCCCTGTGGCCCCCCAGGTATGCAGAGGCAGACTGTGCACTGTACCGAGCGACAGGTGGGGCCCGTGGACGAGAGACACTGTGACCCCCTGGTCCGGCCTGATGACCGCCAGAGGCAGTGCAGCGAGGAGCCGTGCCCTGCCCGGTGAGCCCGCCCTGACCGCTCCTGGCCCTGCCACAGACCCCACATCCTGGGCCCACAGGAGGGGCTGAGGGAGTGGGGCTAAAGGCCCAGGTCGTGGCCACCACCACCCCAGCCTGGAGCAGCTGGCCTAGGATGTCCCTGGTCACTAGGGTTTGGGTCTTGCCCAGCCCCCTGGGGAGGTCCTGTCATTGGGCTTCGGGGCTTGCAGCTCTGGGAGATTGTTCCCTGGGCCCTGACCTGATCCGCCTGCACCCCGAGTGCCTGGGAGATTGTCCCCGGAGTCCTGACCCACCTGCACCCCGAGTGCCTGGGAGATTGTCCCCGGAGTCCTGACCCACCTGCACCCCGAGTGCCTGGGAGATTGTCCCCGGAGTCCTGACCCACCTGCACCCCGAGTGCCTGGGAGATTGTCCCCTGGGCCCTGACCCGACCCGCCTGCGCCCCGAGTGCCTGGGAGATTGTCCCCTGCGTCCTG